GGCAACGGAAGCAACGGCCGTGCACAGCCCCCTCCAGGAAGGCGCCGGCTTTCGGCACGACCACATTGAAGCTCCCGGTGGATGGATGACTGACATTCAATGCACAGCACAAACCTTGGCCCCATTCCCGTCGCTGTCTTGTTTCTCTGCCTGGGCTACGGGCATGCTCAGCGTGTCAGAGCAATACTGGCCCTCGTCAAACAGTTCCTCTTGCGAACCATCGATTGGTGTTTGGCTTCTCTTACCTGCCACCACTACAGCGCTCTCTTCGAGACACGTGTGGCTGGTCCACCATCAGCACGCCCAGCCTCTTCCTGACTGGACGTCGTGGCGGGAGGATTACGACGACATCCGTACACCCTCTCTTTACCAACAATCGCCCTTGACCCTCTTTATTCAGAAACTTGAGTAAACCATCTTTCGAGGACAAGGCCACGAATTGTTGCCGTCACGCGCATCAAGCTAACACCAAGGTTCTTTCTTTACCATCTTAGTGTACACAGGCCCTCCAGGGGCCCGTCCGCGCCGTCGCCTCATCTCTCGTCTCTCCCCGCAGTCCCTCGTCAACATGTCCGGACGAATACTTATGTAAACTCGAAAGGTTCCCTTGGCATCTCTTTTCTCGAAACTGCACAAAGGCCATGGCAACTATGCGGCCACGCCGCTATCCGTCTCGGCTGATTTTCTAGTCGCTAGTCTGCCACAGGCACATGCACAATTGTCTTTGACATCAACACTATTCAATGCGCGGCTGCTATTCATCAGTCTTGGCTGTCGTGGCACCGAGGCAAACGGTCTCTGTTGGCTTGCAGTGTCACACCTCCTGACTCTCAGGAACTGCAACCTCTGTCGGGATTTAACCGGGCAATAAAGGAATGAGGCGATCGACGTCGATACAAGGACTTGAAGCCAGTCCGCCGCCGCGACTCGGGCAAGCCTCCATCCGCCCCTCAAGCCACCGCGCTGTCTCTCACTAGCGTAGGCGGTTTCTGCCGGTAAGCCAATCGATGACGCTCAAAACCCAGAGGGAAAATAAACGAGGCCACAGGCTCTGTCTACGCTATTGTTACCACGATGCCGTACACAGGTCTTGGCACCCGACTTTGATTGAATTTCCAATAGTCCTGCTTTTACTCACCGTGCCACCGCGTGACTTTCAGTCTCAGTGCACCAGAGCCTGATCGTTGAAGCTGCAGGGGCGCAGATCTCCCTCGGAACGGAACCCGCAGTGGAGAAACCAAAGATTCCGATTTTCCCAGCCCCAGCGTGGCTCGCCTGGCTCGCTCTGTTGATTCGGCACCGCAAAGCCAAAGCGGGCACCGCTCGACCCAGGGGCTTTCGGGCCTTCGGCTTCCCCATCTTCACGAAATCATGCTTCTTTCACTCGCGCGGACCCGTTCCGACCCTACGGCAAAATCTGGCACTGTACGCTTAATCGGGATTCTCGGGCACCAGGCCCCAGTCAGTTTCTTCGCACTAGCTCTCAGCCCTGAGGCAGAACTGCCAGATACGAACGAGTTGGCGGATAGCTTTTCCACATCCTTCGAGGTTGTGGTTACGTCCTGCAGCTAGCTGAAATCTAGTGAGACCGCCAGGCAGACTACAACAGCCTCATCCGCTCCTCTCCCGCACCTTAATGCACTTTCCAGGCTTCTTTGCGGTAACTCCGCGCCGTTCTGTCGCTCGTGTCAATCGTTGAGCAAATTTGCTAGCTGATTGCACGAGTAAGGCCAGTTTTCTATCACCTGGCTGCCTTGTCACCATCTTTCATACGGCTAGCATGGTCCCTTGAAATGCTTCGCTCAAGTACTCCGTAAACCTCAAAGTCTATCCAAGATCTACAACCAGATCCCTGCACTTATGGCTGGCAGATGTTTTGTTTAACCTTAATGTGACATTGTCACACCGCGCGGACTCCGTTGCAAGCCTTCTGCTGTCATCCGATTTGAATTCGAGTCCTCTTTGTGTAACCACATTCGCCTTCTCGGATACCTCGACTTGGCATTTGTTTTCTCCTGCTCCCAGCCGCAGCAGTCTTAGGGTAGGATAATCGTCTTGCAATTGCAATTCTCTGTTCTGGAGCCTCCGCAGCTCCATATCCTCCAGCCCTACGCAGAGAATTGTGCTAGGGAATCTGTCTATCCGAGACGTTGTAGTGAAAGAATAGTATCGATTGAAGCATCTCTCGGGGATGGCACTGGTAGGGCATGTCATCCAAGACCGTTGTAACCCCAATCAATTGCAAATACGCCACTCAGCTCATCTCAACGGCTGGAGCCAGGTTGTCTCGCAAGAGGACCAACCTGGCTAGCTTCTCACGGTGGAATGTTCAGCTGCCACTTATTCGCCTGCCACAGAATTGCTGCGCCGACGCCACCAATGTGGATATGTGTACCACAGCCCTGCAATAATACCTCATGGCATAAGGTAGTCTACGCTCGAGATTATGGCTCCAAAGGTGTATCGCAGCAACATCGATGGATGATGTTCAAGGGCTTTGGGGCTTCTTCTCTCTATCATGTCTTCTCTTCTTCGCCCTTCCCTCTTTCTCTCTTCCCCCTTATTGTTCTTCCATCAAGGAAAATGACCATCGCTGAATACGGGACGTTTTGCTGGCTAGTGTCTTACTGACGCATGTCAAAATAAGGATCCTAGAGATAAGATGCTCAACATTAGAACGCAACACAAGACAAGTTCGCAACTGTTCGGTCCATTAGGCTATGTTTTGGTTCCCGTCGCAAGTAGTGATATTTAGTCGACCGAGAGCAACATTATCGACCTGATCCGCTTGTAAGGGAAACTATATCAAAATCTTGCGCGGTGGTGCAATGGTGTCATCATACACAGCCAACTTCAACTGCGCAGAACTAAATTCCCGCCTAAAGGAGGCATCCGAACGCTTCCGTTGATTGCCAAGTGATGCAACACCAAAGACGTCAACATGCACGACGGCCCATTCTGCACCAGTTTCTCCTCGCCAGATGTGATGAGGCACGTCCTGCCAGTTCGCATCGTCGTGAGCCCTTGCAGCCACTGACGAACGCCAAATCAAGACGTAGAAATGTTGCTCAAACTGCGCAGATACTGTGCCTTTTTGGATACTGAGCTAGCTTCTATGTTTCATCATAAACACGTAGTTTGGCTTCTTGTCAACGACGCGATTTAGCCAAGAGCACAATCCTCTGACACCTCGACAACGCAGCTACCAACCCTACGTCGCCGCGTAGATCTCCTCGTTTCGCCCCGAAGAATCGGCAGTGAAGGATATGATGCACCAGGGCATATCCTCTGCACTTCGTCGTGTGATAGTGGTATGCTTCCAAGTGTGAAGTTGAAATTGCCCTTCTTTAGGTTGCTGTAGGACTTATCAGATATCACAACCGACTGTTTGAGACTCCCTGTAGAAATTACTTCTAAGTGATGTAGAGGTCTATTTTGCATGTTAAGTTACCGGGAGAAACCTTTATCGTTGTGAGGTTTCGGCGGCTCCGCGGTCGAGGGTGCAGAGTATTGACAAGGCGGATGCAGAAACGTTTTTATTATGAGCTGAAAGTGACTAAGTACAAGCCTAGTTGGTGTTCTCAAGGAGAGTATATCATGTTACGGGCTTTTTATCAATTATCTGTTTACTATCGAGATGCGTTGCTCCCATTTTACCCCTCCCTTTCTTCACAATGTCCTTCTATGTCATGCCCCCTCCCCCTTTTCGGGGGGGCTAGGTCTCTACATAACTTATCACTTCTTCACGCAGATTTAGAACCCAAAGGCTGTTCTTCTTCGTTACATTCGGACCAAAGGGCTCTTTACATCCTTTTTAGACCACTTCTCTACCTTTGGTACAAGTAATCCTTTAATTACACGTGTGTTTGCCAATGTTTGTCGCTGGGTAAGTTAGGGCATATCACGCGACAGCCCATCTCCGTGAGCTCCCAAGACAATATCTAGTTGGTACCGAGGTGGTACGGCAAAGATTCTGGTGCATCGTGTCTGCTGTTCGAACTCTAGTCTCAAAGGCATTCAATTGAAATTTGAGCAGGCTGTTCAACAAAAGGGTGAGGATCGACGCGTGGCAGTGGGACAAGAGCGTTTAGCACAGGGTGATTTGTCTGCATGTACACTTTCCATGGAGGTACAAGATCAGCTCCATGTATTGTATTGTCGTCATTGCTTCCCTGCCAGAGTTCTATTCCAACCAACGGTTTTGAGACAATCTTGAAATCAAGGCGTATTTGTAAACACTTTCCATCCATACGCATTTGAGAGTATAGATGAATATAATACTCCTAAATCGATCTCTGTCAGGTTGTTCAAAGTAACTTCATTTCTGTCAGATTGATCTTTTACGAGGTCCCAAAAGGAGGACCAAAACAAGACATACTGTTAAATGTAAAAGGTCTGGATCGGCCGGCTGTCAAGTTTTCTTTTTGGGCCGGTGAGCACATGCACACTTTCCTCTTTGTCTCAGTATAATCCTGCATGCTCAGGTCTCAGTATCACGAAGACAGACACAGCATTGAGGTAAGCATATGTCAGATGCCAAGTCATATTAGCCCTACTCGGAAATCCAAGGTCATAGTTCACACAGTCTTCGGCGATCCAGAGGGCTTGAAGATCTCATGATATGTCAAGCCCCACGTATCCCGGGCAAAAACGTGTCGCAGATTTGGAAATTGTGCACGATTGCAATCATTACACTACATGTAGTTAGTAACTCGATGTGCCTGGTCGTAAATCCCGCCTACATTGATTCTATCAGGGCCATGTGTGAGTCTGCGCTCTTGAGTATAAATAGGGAGCCATGATCCCGCTTGAGAGGTTTATTACAACATCACGCAACTCTTCTCCCATACACTCACAGAAACCTGCTCTGAAGCTCCAAGATAGTAAGAAAGTTAGCACCTCAATACGACATAAGCCCAGTTCATTAATTCTTCCTTCTTTCCGTTGTTCCAGACCAGCTCCAACCACCTCAACAACGACAACGATAAAAATCAACAAAAATGCAGCTCTCATCCATCCTCACCGTCGCCCTCGGCCTCGCTTCTACTACATCCGGCTACGTCCTCACCCTCTACAAAAACGAAGGCTGCGGAGGTGCCTCGCAGAGACGCAACATTTACGACAACACTTGCGCGACTACCGACTTTGCCCCTAGATCCGTCAGGGTCGAGGTCTACGGGGGCTACAACCAGAAGGCGTACTTTTACTCCAGCAAGGGATGCGTTGCTGGACAGGAGATTGCTGGTCCGTGGTACGCTGATCATGAGAATAACTCGTGGAAGAGGGGAGCATGTATTAGTCTGGGTGGTAGGACCATTAATGCCTTTGGGTCTCGAGCGTGAGAGGGCATCGAATTGGCACTGGCGTAGGCTTCAGACTTCTGTTTGGCGGTTGTTGCACTTCATCTTCTAGATGAATCAAGAGGAAGCTTTGTTGTGACTATCCAAATGGGTAGATCTAGTTTCGAATCTTACTCTAATTGGAGTCTAACAAAAGGATAGCCAATGGGATTCTCAATTGCCCTCACTTTCATGTCATCACTCTTCGTAAGTGATATCGTAATAACAGGCCAGTTTTCGAATATGCTATAGGCCTGCTCCGAAGGCCGAGGCACGTTCGCCAATGGAATATTTCAATACCGAATACTCATATGAATATTTGGGGATCCAATTGGGAACATCCATGCCTACCTTCCATCTGAATATACAGAAAGCCTATATAGACCCCTCCAGTCCCATTCCTGTCCCCAGCCAGCAGGCGCCCGTCTAGGTCGACGGGTCTGGTCAAACTGGCTGGGTGGTGGAGTGGTTCAAGGCCAACAATCAGTCACGCCCACAGCCTACTCGACGATAGGCTACGAGCTCGATTTCCATCATGAGCAACAAGAGATGTAGCCTCCCGAGGTGAACTCTTTGTTTTTCCCTCCTGTCTTCCTTCTTACCTCGGAAAAAGGAATCTACCATTTATGGCTTTCAGACTACCGGCTTGCTCCCTCCCACTTCGGCCGTCCACGACTCGGCGTGCCGCATGTGGGGGGTTTCCGAACTTGACCCACAATAAGCAATTGATTCATGACTCTGTACGGATAGGCTTGGGTCTGCGAGTTTTTCATGGGAAAGAGACCACAGGGACTCTGTGAGACGTCTACTTGTATAATCATTGCTTCGTTTGGGTATCTTTGTGCAGTCCCCGACTGGACACTGGGAGATAGGAAAAGAGGTAGGTAGGTGCTCCATTGTGGCTTCCATTTAAACCCGTTAAAGAAATTTCCAGTGCCTCAATGAACACATCATTGACAATTGCTAACTATTGGCAACGTCCTTTTGTCCTTCGGTGGACGTGTGTTTGATTAAGTCATGCCCACGCCTCGTCTTCTATACGAGAACATGGCGGTCAGGGATGTCTCTCGCCTTGAAACTCCCACCGGGAAGATGGATCGGAAGCGAGTCAAGGCTGCTTTATGCAAGCACTCCTGATCACAATTGGAATGGCGAATTCGTCGTATTGAATACAATGGTATTCGAGCTATCAACTCACATATCAAAACAGTAATTCCTGAATACTAGAGTTTTTGGGTCGTAGCCAAACTCCTGACCGATAATCCAAAATCGTTGAGAACTTCCGACTGCGTCGCAATTCGCCGCCGTTTTTTTCGGCTCGTAAAGTAAAACCCCTTAAGAAAATTAATTGATTTCGAATCGTCGTCGTGGAGAGATCATGTTCCCGTTCGCACCGATAATGATACATACTCAATAAAATGCTTGAGGGCGAGGTGGATCACACCGTACGCGTACCTCCCTGCAGCTGATGTCCGTCAAAGAATCAGCGAGTCAGCACTCAACAGACGTAAACCCGCTTGATGGCCCTCACCTCTTAAAACCCCTCGCTTACACCGTAAATGATGATCTACCTGGACGAGTCAGGCTCTTGATGTTCCCAGCAATGCTTCGCTCCGTAACGCCCTCTCGAAGGCCGCTTAGCGATCGAGATTCACGTTGAGTAAAATGCGGGAAAAAAGAAGAAGGAGAACAATAGGAGATTTAAAGGTTGCAAGAAGCCTTTAACCTGTCAAATAGCTACAGCATCATTCTCAATATCGCATCCCACTCTCAGTCCCTCGTTTCAGCTTCTCGACAAATTCCAGCCCATTACTTTTCCACCAAAATAAAAGATGCAGTTCTTCACCATCATCGCTCTCCTGGCGCCTCTGGCCCTCGCCGAGACCTGGAACCTTTCCGGCACATGCTCCAACGACCTTACGTGCGAGATCGACGACCAGTACACCAGCCCTACGCTGGTTTGCGGCAACCAAAACGGACATTTCTCTGGCGACGGCAACGCAGGAAAGACTGGTTGCGTCCCGGCTGGCACTAAGTGCACCTACGTCTGGACTTGTTAGGCTACTACATCTACTCGCGTCTAGGTATGTAGGCAGTGTACTGAGAGCAGGAAGGAGTGTGGCTGATGGTGTTGTTTTGGCAGAGAAAGGAGTGATGGAGCAAAAATGGGCGTGTAGCTTCTATAACCAAAAGTCAAATGCATGAAGTTAATTGAGTTTCAACGTAGCGATCTACCGATTAACCGGCGCCGTTCATGGCCCGTGATGTGATCCATTATTTCCGTTTTCTTGACTGCCGTGTGCGTTCCCGGCGCGGGGTACACCCCACTATTCCCGAGGTAACAAACTCCGTTGGACATCCAACCACCCTACAGACCACCCCCAATGTTCACTTGACACATTCTAGAGTCACTTCCCAGACATCTCATTGCGATGTTATCTTTCAAGCAAGATGAGCTCCGATATTCCTACACTGCAACGAGCAGTTCTTTTTGAGAACCCTGGTCCCGATGCCAAGGTCGTTGTTCGGGAGGATGTCCCAGTCGGAACCCCCGGACCGTTTGAAGTTCTTGTCCAGCTTGATTTCACTGGATTGTGGTAAGTTAATAGACAGCCACCTTTTTCGCTGAATCCAGCATCTCTAACTCCATGTTCACCTACTTAGCGGCTCAGAAGTCCGAGCGCTCCGTGGTTGGGGTGCTTACGATCCCATCGTGGGCCATGAAGGTATCGGCAGAGTCGTGAAATTGGGAGAGAATGTCTCAGAGTCTTTCTTGAAGAAGAAGGTCGGAGTCAAGTGGCTCTACAGCGCCTGCGGAGAGTGTTCTGTGTGTGTGCGCGGGTTCCCCAACAACTGCTCCAAGCAGTTGAATACCGGCAAGCACCGTCCTGGGACCCTACAGCGATACGTCGTCGCGGACTCGAGATACTTGACCCTGATACCGGAGAGCTTGAGTGACGAAGAGGCAGGACCTTTGCTCTGTGCGGGCCTCACGATGATGGGCGCGCTGTCGATGCTGGATAATGACTTGTCTCGAGGCGACTGGGTCGTAATCCAAGGCGCTGGAGGAGGGCTTGGTCATCTAGGAGTGCAAATCGCATCTAAGCTAAAGGAATTCCGTGTCATCGCGGTAGACACGGGTGATGAGAAGCGAAAGTACCTGGAGAGTAGAGCGGATGCATTCATTGACTATGCAACTGACGACGTGGAAAAATCGATCATGAGTTTGACCGGGGAGGGAGCCCATGCTGTCATCGTTGTTCCTGGTTCAGAGGACGCCTACCGGATTGCGCCAAAGCTTTTGAGGTCAATGGGAACGATTGTCTGCGTTGGGCTACCTCGGAATGATTTCGAGTTGCCCATTTCAGTGGCTCAGTGTGCCCTGAAAGGTAAGTTCTCTAGCTCTGGGCCGCAGCCTCTGTAGGTGAAGATGCAGGCTGACACGTTCGCACTAGCTCTGACAATTAAGGGGGCTATGGTCGGGACGGAAGAGCAAATGACGGAGCTTCTTCAGGCCGCTGAGAAGGGCACGATCCGGGCTTCCATAGATCTATTCTCCTTCTCGCATGTTCCCGAGATCATGGCCCAGCTAGAGAAAGGAGAGGTTTCTGGACGGGCCGTGGTCAGTTGTCTCTAAGAGCTACATGCCACTTGCACCCCCTTCATGCCGTATCATATACAATCAATATACTTCAACAAGTAGATGAAATCTTCCCTTGGGACGATTTGTTTGAGTAGATATCTCTCAGATCCACTAGGGAAATACAGCGAGCGCTTATGGCAGACTGAGTCCAATAATTCGGATCGACAAACGGATCGAACCCGCAATCTCTCACAACCCTTGCAACTTTTTTCCGCCGTTGATATTCATTGAACCAGTTTCTGTAGATAGAAGTAAGCAATGATGCGGGTTGCGGCGGCTGGCCCTCTCAACATCTGTTGGTTGTCCCATGGCCTTCCAGATTTAGAGATACTCATGCAGGAATCGTACCAACAGGACTTGCATGCCGACGACATGCATAACCATCACGCGCCAAGAGAGGGGTAAAATGTGATAGAAGAAGTGTCACAGATATAAATACATTGAGAAAGTGGAAAGAGAGAACTTGACGCATTGTCTTCGTTACACCCCACATTACTCTCCCCCGCGCGCGACGAAGATGGCATCTTCTCCGCCCAAATCCTCTCCGAAATCGTCGCCTAACTCGTCCCTAAACACTGGCGATGATACTATCGATGCTATCATTCCAGATGAGGTCTTTCTCGGGCGTTTATGTCTTTTCTGAGAGCTGTTGCTAATCATGCGCTCAGATCAACCATGAGGACGCTTCAACAATTGGACCCGTAAGTTCAGCATCAAGATCAAGCCCACTTATTAGGAGCGAATTAATGATGACTTTACCAGAGCATTGCGTCCTCCAGTACGAGTGTAAGCAGTTCGATTCTCGATTACCGCATAGAGAACGGACGCACGTATCACAAGTACAAAGACGGCAGTGAGTTCCACATCGCACTACTACATTTGATGATGTTTCTTGAGACTCACTCAAGTAGAATATGCACTTCCCAACGATGAACGGGAGCTTGATAGACTTGGTACGAAGCGCAACTCAAATCTGGCCTTCTGAGACTAATTCAGATAACCCCGCATACCTGTCACACAACCTCTTTCTCATGACTTTTGACAATAAACTCGGAACAGCTCCACCGAATGCAGCTGACTCTGGAGTCCGTCGTGTTCTTGACATCGGCACAGGCACGGGAATTTGGGCAATCGACTTTGGCGACGAGCACCCCGAGGCTGAGGTAAGCTTGACTGCTATGGTCTGACTTTTTGCTCACTCTTATGTCAGGTTCTCGGAGTCGATCTGTCTGCCACATGGCCCAACTAGTGCGACTACCACCCCTTCTTTCTCATAGGCGAAGTAGCTGATCGCAAGTAGCACCCCTCCCAACGTTCGTTTCGAGATTGACGATGTTGAGGACACTTGGACATTCTCTCGGCCATTCGACTACATCCACAGTCGGGTCATGACCTCGTCGGTCAAGAGCTGGGAAGATTTCATCCGCAAGTGCTTCGAGTAAGTCATTCATCCCTGCTCATCCACAGTAGCGGGTGGAAGCTGAAAAGTGAAATCCAGAAACCTTAGCCCCGGGGGATATCTCGAGCTAAACGAAATCGACCCCTGCCCTCTGTCCGATGACGGCACCCTCCAGGAGACGTCCGCAGTCATCAAGTCAGTCCGCATGCTGGAACAGGCTGCTAACATTTTCGGCCGCCCTTACCACACCGCACAAGCACTCCAAGAGACTTTGACTCGAGTCGGCTTCGAGGACGTGACCGTACAGAGGTTCAAGTGGCCCACGAATCCTTGGCCGAGAGATGCCCGTCATAAGGAGCTTGGGATCTGGACCCACGAGAATCTCGTGGCTGGCTGGGAGGGCTTCTGCATGGCTCCGTTTACCAGGGCCTTGAACTGGTCTAGAGAGGAGGTCTTAGTTCTCATGATGCAGGTGCGCAAGGAGTTCAGCGATCGAAGCATTCACGCATACTTTCCAGTGTGAGTTCGCAATAATGTCTTGTCAGTTGCTCTACTAATGTTATCAGTCATTCGATCTACGCCAGAAAGCCTGCCAAGCCAAGTTCGGACTGAGTTTGACCAGGACGGATCATGTAAGGTATGATTGGGATCGTTCGTCACAGAACCATCTCTCGCTTCGAATCCATAGGGATTCTTGCATGCATACAGGGTTGAAGACTGGATAGTATATTCTATCATCGCGGCGTCAACGGTGCGTTGGCAATCTAAGCAGAGAGAGGTACCAAGCTGGCCGCACCCGACCTTATGCAGACAGCCCAAGGGCTATGGCGGCAGAGGTCTATGTCTATATCAAAACAAAGTCTTCTCTAAAGCATCTTCTGTTGAACTTCTCCATAACTCGTCAAAGCTTCTCTTGCCTCTTCTTGCGCTTCTCCATCCCAACAAAGTACGCTTCCGCTTTAGCGAGAACCGTCCCATGCTCATCAGTGATCTCCGCCTCGACAGAGAACTTCCTGGGCCCGTCCATCCGCTTCAAGGCCGCCGTGCAGGCCACCGTCGACATGGTCGGCACCGGCTGTATGTACGTGATGTTCAAGTTCTGCGTAACCTGCGGCAACATGGGCATGAACCCCAGCAGCTTATTGATGAACCCGATGGCGCCCATGCATTCGTCGAATATGGCCGCGACGGCACCGCCGTGGCACCACTCCTTCTTCAGCGTACTCAGCCCGTGGCCGAGAGTCAGGAAGCAGCGGACTTTGGTCATGTACAGTTCGTCGAGGGGCCGGTTGTCCGGGGATTGTTCGTCGGCATGCGATGGTGGTGAAGGCATGTGAAAACAGCCGATGAAGAATGGCACCGTGGCCGCGCTGAAGAGCGTCGAGCCCCAGAATTCAAAGATGCGGTTGTCGGGGTCGAATTCGCGGCTGACGAGGGGTCTGACGATGACGCCTGGTTCCGAGAGGACTTTGGCGCACCACGGTATCCCTTGGAAATGCGCGATTTGATCTTCCCATGGTTCCGGCATGGTGAGAGAGTAAACAGAATGTTCAGACGGAGATCAAACTGAGCGAGCGCAACTTGAAGTTCTTCCGTGGTGCAATGGTGAAGATCACTTATCCTTCGGTCGCTTCTACCCAGTACCATGATGTCTGGTAGGGCCAGAACAGTTCCTAAATAGGACAGCTCTCGCAACTAGAGGGAATCAGCAGAAGTGACGGAGATTAAATCAGGTGCAACTGTCCGGAGTATCGCGATAAGGTGAGTGGTGGTCTGATTAGTGAACTTCAGGAAAGTTCTCAAAGGCCCATGAAAACGCTAGGTTCAGGAAAACTTAGATAAAAACTCCAGTAAATCTATGGTTGCTGAATCGTCAGAATAGCAAAGGAAACATGTGCCGGCAGACTCAATTTGTATCATGGGGGTGCATGGGCTTGGCATGAACATGAGTATCAGTAATCAAGAACAGCATGTCGGCAGGACACTGAGCCAGGGACGGAGTTTCTGACTATCGCTAGTATAGATAAACGAGACTCTTGACGCGGAAATTTCGCTCAAAGTAAGATCTTAGCCTGGACAGAGACTAAATTTGCCCGCAGATGCGACATCTAGGTGGTCAAGGTCGCCATCCTCTAGCCTTGCGACGGGGATAACTAACGGTAAAGCTGGCTCTCAAGTGCGCAATGTCACCCTTTTCGCGGCATGAGATAGTACTTCCTCAACTTACACCGTAGTTCTCCGCAGCCTGCAAGACCTTGAACGCCTCAGGAAAACGAGACTTGGTGGTACACTCGAACGGAACCGGGCGTCTGTCATCCAAAGTCAGCGACAGCAACAAACCGGCAAGAGTCCAAGGGGGATCTCACACAACGACACCGTCATCGACGCATCCATCAATATCTATAGGGACATTCATCCCGTCGTATCCCACCTTTGGCTCAATCTTCATCGTCCAAAGCACCGTTGCCATAGTAATGAAGAGATCCTCATTCGCAATCTGGCGCCCGACACACAACCTACGGCCGAAGCCAAACGTGACGTGGCCCTGGTCTTTCGTCTCCGCTCCCAGCGGCTTAAGCTGCCCGGTCTTGGGATCGAGGTACCTGGCGGGATTGAAGTGATGGGCGTCCGGGCCGTACGTGTGCGGATCGCGGTTCATGGCCCAGACGTTGGGAATGAGCAGTGAGCCTTTTGGTATAAAGTGCCCTTCGTACCAGATGTCCTATGTGAAAGGATTAGAAAATCGATAAACGATAGACTCGATGTTGCGACGTACTTCGGAGCTCTGGTGTGGAAGACCTATTGGGTCGACGGGTCGCCAGCGAAGTGACTCCTTGACCTGGACAAGTTTGATCGTCAGCAATGTGGGTTTGCGCGACAGAGAAGATTTACTGGAAATTTGACAACTCACCATGGCTTGAATGTAAGGTAGCTTCCCATAGTGATCGGCAAAGTTTGGGGACGCCTCGCGTCCCACGACGCGATCCAGCTCCTCCTGGGCGAGCTGCTGCACCTCGGGATACACGACCATGGCTAGCATCCACCACTCCAGCACGCCGGTGATCGACTTTGCCCCAGCGCTGGAATGTTCCTATCAGGAAAGTGGCTTTTCAAAGAGATTGGTTGACCCCGCGGACGGACTTACATTACGCTCGCCGCGAGCCAGTTGATTTCGGTGTCGGACAAGTTGCACCGGCTCTGGTCTTTCACAAAGCTCTTGACGAGGCAGTTGCCGCCATCGATGCCTCTCTAGTCATCTTTCAGCATAGAAAACTCGTAAATGAATAATACAGCTCCTCGATTCAGCACTCACAAGTCGGGCCTCCTCAAACCAACTCCCAAAGATAGCAGAATCCGCCGCAAACGAATCCTCCACCCGCCTCTTCCATGGCGCGAATCTAGAAGGAGAAGCTCAGCATCACCGTCCTATTCCATGACAATAAATAGTTCTCGGTATACCAAAAACTTACCTAGACGGCATGTGTCTCAACCAGGGGAAAACCTGACTCAAATGCGCACCAGGCAGCGCAGCCTTGGTCAACCGCGCGACAAAGTCCTCGAGCCAAACCAGCTTTAAATCGCTCGCAGACGCAAGGGAAGGCGTCCCGTACACCAGGTTCATATTCGCCGACGATACCGCGCGGTGCAGGTGCGACAGCCAGTCCCGCGGGTCCTTGAGCATGTCCGCGGCCAGGAGAGCGGCCTCCTTTTGCTGGACGAGACGGATATCTGGGAAGGAGATGTTGCGGAGGGCTCCGTGGGAGGCTTTACGCATGCGCAGCCACCTATGGACGGACACAGTGAGTCTTTGAAGTTTGTTACACAGCCCTGCGAGGAAAGGGGACCTACATTGCGTTCTGGCTCTGGAACGGCACGAAGCAGGACCCCGTCATCATGTCTATGATGACATTCCCGGGCCGGTCTGCTGTGACGCCCGCGCGGCGATCTAGTATGTCGAACGAGGTCTTGAGGTCGTTGAGGACGACTACATCGCTTCCAGCGGCGGTGAAGTGCATTATGGGGCCTGTTTTAAATCGGATCAGCGTCTGGCCAGTAGACGAGAACAGCGGAACGAGCATACCATACGTCTTCATCCAGCTGCCGAAAGTCAGCCACGGATCCTGGAGAATGTCGAGTGCATTTCCAAGGAGGGGCAGCCCTCTCGGGCCTGGCGGGAGACGCCGTCTTGGGCTTCGAACGTATGTAAAGATGGCAAGGAAGACGAAAACCACGCCGAAGGCCGTGATGGATCTGTAAGTCCACAAGAGACGTAAAAGAGCTTCGGCGAACTGCATTCTGGCGGTCATGAGTTCTTCTCAACGAGATGGGCTATTACTGGTGACAAGCCATTGTTCCCTTCTTATGTCGCACAGCTGCTTTCTCTTGATTAACCTCATTTACAGCCAACAAGCCAACGTATGGTCAGGCTCCGCCGGACTTGCCGGCTTTCGCAACATCACCGCGACCACCGCGCCAACCTGGTGGGCGTTCCAACAGAGCAAACAGTCCAGCGTAGAGATTATTCAGCCTCTATGTCATCGGAAGTGTCTTGCTAATTGCATCCAATAGAGTCCTTAGACTCAAGAGTCGAAACATCGGTCAACGATACGTTGCAATACGGGCAGAACAATTGGCCAGTTGAAAGAACGACCCCCCCACGCAGGGAGGCTCAAGAACTGATTCTCTGTCTTTCTAAAGCGATTCTTGTTCCCTTCCTCGGCCCAAAGGTCCTCATAGACCGGAGATATGCGCCGGACTTGGAGCTTTTGAGCTGAAGAATCCAGGGTTTCTCGATATAAGGCTACGGAGGAGGCGCTGTCAAAGGTACCTAAGTACCTAGTTAGTCCCGGGTTTGTGAGTTGTTTGCTCCCTGCGTCTCTGTGTCTCTCATGGCGTGTGAGACCTGGCTGGATCACTTATCCCCAGCCAGCCTGCTTTCCCCCGTTGCGAAAGTGTACGTTGTGGCTCGAATGCAGGGATAACGCAACTCTCCCAGGCCGGTTGGACCAACAGCGGAGCTAACGACAGCCTGATCCGGGACCCGTGGATCTGGCCGGGTAGTATTTCTGCACCCAGAAATCGACCTGAGCCAACATATCTCAATCCATTGGACCAATGGTCTGGCACATTTTCGAGGGGCTGAGGATATGGAGGGGGAATGACTTAGGTGTGGGCAGCCTCAGTCATTGATCGTGTCCAATCCTGTTGCGTTCCTTGGTTCCAACGCTTGTTGGTTGCTGCCCGTGAGCTAGGTATGCGATTGTTTGTCAAACAATGCACTTTGAAAGAAGCTAGCGTCTTCGTTGGATACCACTTTTTTGTGTTGGAAGCTCCCTATTGGAAACGAGGGATTTGAGACATGGCCGGGAGAAGCTACACCACCTGGGATTAGACCGCTAGGCGCCCGAATTGCCATACCATGATCCGCCTCGTGCCTCCGGGCTTCCGGATCGGCAGCGCCCCCACTTACTAAACGGAGCGGGACCCGGCGGTGCGGCCATCCCAAGCCGGTGGGCGAAGGAGCCCCTGCCCGATCAAGCGCTGCCGAATTTCCTGCGGCGGTCCCATGAGCCCCGTTGTCTATTTGACGTATCCTCCACTTTCCGGTATAATGTGTACGTCGGCGCAAATACGATTACAACTCTCCCATCAGAAAAACCTAGACCAAGTCGGCGACGCCGCCGTGTTGGCCCAACAAGTAAAACGTATCCAAACCGTATGCTCAACGTAAGTTCCCTCGATTATAGAGGAAACATCATTGCCAGACACATACGGAACGTTGAAAAAGACTGAGAGAACCAAAAAAGAGTCAATAGCAAACCCAAAAGGCTACCTCCAAGACTGTCGTTCCCCCCTTCCCCGAGGAACTCAAATCTCGCCTTACCTCACCATCTCTCGGCACACTCCAACCTTTCATTTCCAAAAGGGTGTGTAACAATAAGGAAGCCAAGGCGAAAAAAGAAAAAAAAACAAGGGAAAAACTTAAGTAGAAAGCAAAAATGACAAGAAAGGAAGCAAGGCCAAGATGCCAGTTCACGTCGGTCGGGTCGTCCCCGAGTCTCAGACGGGGGCGGCGCTAATCCAGCCTTTCCCTTTATCTCGGGACATTATGATGCTTTTGCTTCAGTGATCAGGCGAAACTCCTGATATTAGGCATTTTTTTGCAGCTTTTACGTTCTACTTGCAGCAGAACGCCGCGATGCAGGTAAACTCGGGACGACGACAGCGGCCCACGCCTCTCGGCACTGATCCGGGAAAAAAAAGTGGTGACTTCCCTACGGCGCGTAAGTCGTGTTCTTTTTTTTTTCCTCCTCGACGGAGAAAACACGGACTTTTGATCTTGATCGAGCTCGCCGAGAATGAGTCCCTTGGGTGGATGATTCGCAAGATTGTGCGATTCAATTGCAAGGTTTTGGTACCTTGCATCATCATAGGCCAACTGTGATAACGCACCTACCTACCTACCTTACTTTAGGCGTGCGCAGCCATATGGCAGAGATCGAGAGCAGAGGGCAAAGGAAAAAGGGGCAAACGACCCGAAGTCATGTCGCCGAAATTGCGTAAAATAGTCATAATCCCATTGCACAAAACTTCGACATGCAGGATCCTTCCATCTGTTGGAACCTTGAAGATGGTGGTTTTGGGGGGGGAGGGGCGGGGGGCGGGGGGTTGACGTTTTTATCGTGCACTTGCTCATTCAGTGGCACACTTGCGAAAACTGACGATAAATCCAACTCAGAGCCTACACGCGCTTAAAACCCCCCAAAAAGGGGGGGATTGGGGGAAAACGGTTATAACGGCCCTCGCAGGAACAGACGGTCAAGGAGAAGGGAAAAGAGAAGAATAAGGTAAAGTCAAGTCAGGAACAGCGTTCAAAGTCAAGAGTCATGGAAATAAACCTTTTCAACTCTCCCCACCGACTCGCCGACTGTTCTCCATCAAGAACATCTTGCGCGCGCGCGTATGTGTGTGTGTGTGAGATGCGAATCGCCGAAACGAAGGGAAACCTCAAAATAAGCTCCCCAAAGAAAGAAAATAAACATCAATTAATCTCTCTTTGCGCTCTCCCCCTTCCGAAACGTTAAAAAGAAATCTCCTAATTAATATACCTCCACAACTGCTAGCAAGCGTGCAAACCCATTTCCCTCCCAAAAGACCTCAAACACCCCCTGCCCAGAAACCCTCGCACGACACAAAAAGTGCCATCCCAACCCATGACACATGCCCCTCATCCGTATCTACATTCTAGCCTCGACTCGTGATATCACAGAGCCGGACCTTAAGCCTCAAGCCCTGTATTCGTAAATATAACTCTGTCTGTTAAGGCTGTTATATGGTACCGCAAGCCCCCCCTCTGCGTCGCAAGATCCCTCCCATCCGTGATCCGTCCCAACTCCGGCAACGACAACAGGCAACATGAAACGCGTCTCAACTCTTCTTCTACCCTATTTTTTTCCTTCTTCCATGGGCCTGAACCCCTCTCAGGACCTGCCAAGTCGAACGCCAGTCTCCAACCCACACACTTATCCCACTCAATGGCACGCAACACTGGAGAATCCAGCTTAGTCATGTACAAAATCCTCCCACCAGACCTACTAAAAGATCCCAGCCTCAACCAGGCACCCTAGACACTACCCCAGCGCATAACACGGCCCCCCGGCCGAGACATGTCCCCCCCATCATCGCGACACGCAGATCAGACGCCGCAGCTCGGACCGCTGCTCGGCACGGCAGCCCTCATTGTACAGGTTCACCAACATCAGAGAGAAAGGACGTTCGGCGCAGTGTTACCGGTATACCTCCTGCCACCCCGACTTTCAGTAAGATGGGGTGACATCGTGACTTGTCATCTGTAAGTCAATCGCTGAACTCCTAGTGTAAATGTCACGACGTGTCAAATCAACAAGAACCAAGAAACCAGGCAAAGGTAATCCAAAAAACTGTGTGCACTCTCTACTGGAATTGTGTCTTCCATTTCTTTCCAAGCCATGCTGCGTGTCCTGTCAACGGAAAAACAACTCCCTCTAAATGTACAGAAAGGTCGGATCGTAAGATTTTGTGTCATGGTGATGAGGTGATGAGGTGATGAGGTGATGAGATGTGTGTGTGTGTGTGCGTAAGGGTTGTCGGGGAGGGGGGACATTAGAACAATAATATAGAGGGGGAGGAGTTTGCCAGTGTTGTCGTTGATGTGTGTGAGTGTGTGGTATCGAAGCACGGGGAGCGCTGGTTTTCATCAAACAAAAGAAAAAACCATCCACGCCAACCTGCTCATCTAATAACCTCCTGCCAGTTCGTGTAGAATATAACAACCCAAGAAATTAAAAACAGAAAAAACACCAGAACACTTTTTGGCGACCCGGGTGAACCCAAAAGCATGGAGACTTGTCGTTGTATGATGTAAAAGGCCCGTGTTGTCCGTATGAGCGCGCGCGTGCATATCCCAATAATCCCTCGGTTGTTTGTCGTCCTTGTCGTCGAAAGGCATTCGATTATGAGAGCTCCTGGATGCAGGTCTGAACCTGGGCATCACAGTCGGCCGTGGTGACCCCGTTCAACTTTCCACCGTTGAAAGCATTGAAACAGGCATTCCGTTGAACATCGCAAGCACGCTGCGCCGCATTGGCCTTGGAAACGAACGAGTTGCCGTTGACGGAGAATGGTCGGCTGCTATCGCCAGAGTCCGAGACCGCCGGGGCCGCGATTCCGCCGATAGCGTTCGACGTCGCGCCTCCCTTGCCAGATCCAGAAGAAGTGTTACCGTTGCCGTTCTGTCCGGATCCATTGCTGTTGGCGTTGCCATTGTTGGAGGCACCTCCGCCCTGGGTGGGCGTCGGCGTCGCTGCCGCCGGGTCTACCGAAGGAGTCGCCGTCGCGTTCTTCGAATTACTGGCGGCGTCCCCGTCCTGGCCGGAGTTGTTAGCATTGGGAGTTCCCTGTGTGTTTCCGGTCTGTGATTGTGTTGTGGCCTGTCCAGGGGGTGCGCTTCCAGGGAATTGAGGAAATTGGCCGGGGAATTGGCCTGGGAACTGTGTGTTTGGAAATCCTTGAGGGGGGTTCTGAGGTGTTGCTTGAGCATTACCTTGACCAGCGCCTCGTCCAGCACCGCCACGACCGGCACCTCCTGCAGCACCGCCTGCAGCAGCACCGGCGCCTTGTCTGCCACCGGCTTGCTTACCTCCACGGGCAGCTCCGCCCTGGTTGTTGTCTTGTACCCGTTAGTACCTTGTCTAAAGCTTCATGTATCCCTGATGGACTTACTCTGCTGGCCTCCGTTGGCAGCGTTGCCGCCGTT